TAGCCCAGCCCTGCCAGTGCCCCCCACTCCTGACCTGCAGCACCCGCCAGCCCCCCCATCCCCCCAGCTCTGCCGGTGCCCCTCACTCCCGACCCACAGCCCCTGCTAGCCCAGCCCTGGGCTCCCGCCATCCCCCCGCCAATACCCACCGGAGCTGCCCCCTCCAGTCGCTGTAGTCCTGTTTGGGGAGCACGACGGCCGGGCTGGAGTGGACGGCGAGGGGTAAGCGGCTCTCCAGATACGCGCTCTGCACCCACCAATCCGAGAGCTGGGGTGGGGGGGCGGGGAGGACAGACCAGGGTTAGAATCGGGGGGCGGGGGTCATGGGGCCTTTGACCCGAGCTCTCCCCTGCAGCTTCCCCCCCGCACCCTAGGCTGAGACCTGGCACAACTTCATTGCACTGATGGGCATGAGCAGAGTCCCCAGCAGGGGGTGCTGTCCCCGGGCAGCCATCCCACTCCCATCTCCTGTCCCGGATGCCGGGGTCCCCACCATCGCCCCCGTGTTCCCCCCAAAAAGCTCCAGGGACCCTCACAGGACTGCTGGGGTCCCCCACCTTTCACCCATCCCCCAAACTCCTGGGTTCTGCCTGCTCCCAGCCCTGCCCAGGACACCTGGGTCCCCCCCCCCGCAGCTCCCTAACCCCCGGACACCTGGGTCCCCCAAGCTCTACCCAGTTCTCCATGCGGGTGGCTCTGCGCTCCAGCTGGGCCTGCAGCCGTTCCCCCTCCCCGCCGGGCGCCCCGAACTCCTGCACCAGTTCCCGGGTTTCCTCCAGCTCCTCGGGCGTGACCAGCACCTCCAGCGAGCGCAGGTACCGCTCCAGCGTCTGGGCCAGCGGGGGCACGGGCTGCCGGGGCAGCGGGAAGGACGAGGCCAGACATCGCGACGGGGGCCCCTGCAGGGACGGGAACGGCTCGACTGCACCAAGGGCCACGGGCCCACCTGCCGCCCTGGGCACATGTGGCTGCCCCCAAAGCGGGAACTGCAACGGGAAAGTCACCAATGCACCACCCAGAGCCTGGCATCACGCAGCCGCCGGCGCCGGCCTACACAACGCCCCAGCAGCAGCCGGTGTTGAAATGCGCCAACAGCAACCTCGGTTCTCGGCGTCCGGCGCTGGAAATGCAACGGCCCGCTTGCAACGTGGCACCTGCAACCCGCAGACCCAGGGGGGCCCGTCTCCGGCCACGTGCTGGCCAAGCGGCGGGCGCTGCCACCCTCCACCTTAACCGCGGGTGGCAAAAGCAGACATGCACCAACGGCCCCCTTGCAAGGTGCAGCCAGAGCGGGCACCGCAATTGCGAACTTGCAACTGTAACCGTCACAAATGGGTGTGTGTGTGTGGGGGGGGTCCCACTTCTAAAGCGGCCAATGCAACAGCCCCCCCCCGGGACCCAAGTTGCAGGCGTCAAAGGTGCCCCAGGTGGCGGCTTTGCCGATGCACCGTCAGGGCCCCTCGCCTCGCTGCAGCTTTGCGGAGTTGCCAAAGGGCCGCACGCGCCTCCTGCCGCAAATGCACCATCCTGCGCGCTTGCAAAACCGCCCCTGCGTGTCCCCCCCCGCAGCGAGGCACGTGCAGCCGGATTCCCCCCGCCCCGCTTGCAAAGGGGGAAACGCGCCGCCAAGCTGCCAAGTTGTAACCCGGCCGGCTGGGGCTGCCCCCCCCGGGGGCTTTGCACGGCCGCGCGGCCCCTTGGCAAAGCCCCCCCCGCACTTTTGCGGCCCAGCAGCTGTTTGCAACGGGGCCCCCCGCGCCCCCCACTCACCGGGGCGCGTCGACCCCGGCGCTCGCCTGCACGCCCCGAGGGGGGCAGGAGGAACCTCCAGCGCCCCATGCCT